TTGCAGTCTGTGGTTCTGGCAGGCAGATAAACAGTGTTTTACATTCAATGCACTGATTTAGAACAGACAGGAAACAACACACACACACACAGACACACACAGTGGTGGGTGTGTGGCGAGCTGGTGGTGTAACAGTGACCACAGGGTTTCAGATTTACCGCTCCTGTGTTGCACCGAGCGGCTGATGTTTGTTGAATCTGTTTACGGCTGTTGTTGTATGTTTTAGTGGCGCAACATGATCCAACAGGCAGCCAATCAAATCACACCGGCCTCCTGCTTTCTCTCTCTGCTGTAAACGTGATGTACAACAGTCAACGAGGAACATCTTAAGATACATAGACATATAGCTGCTTCTTTATTAAACATCATCGTGTGTTGACCTCAGCTTCCTCCCTCTCTCTCGCTCTCCACAGTTTTCAGGCAGTGACTCCTGGTTGGCGTCTTCCTCTGATGAAGACCTTCAGGTAAGAACAAGGACTGGGTCAGGTGAGACGGATGCGTCCACACAGCCTCAGGTCTGAAATCTGAGGACACGTTTTTAAATGTCTTCAGTTCAAACTAAAAAATATCAAATCAAATCATCAGAAATGTATTTTCACTTTCATATCAACGTGCGTGACCAACAGAAAAATCTACTTCTTGTGGTGGGAGTGGCCTCCCCTCAAACCCCTCCCACTGTACACGAAGCCCCGCCCGGTGTAATTGTGGAGGTCGAGGACACAAAAACAAACACCACTCTGAGCTTCACCATCTTCATCCTCGCTGAGAAGGAGGAGGGGAGCGGGACGGATGGACGAGGAAGGTAAAGACGATCAGTTCAGTTTCTCCTCGTCTCCTTGTTTATTTACTTTAAGTTTGTTTGTTTGTTTGCTCCTAGATCAGACGACAACGGCTCAGTCAGTGAGAGCGATGATCTCAGCGGAGAAGAAGCAGAAAAACAGCACGTCCAGCCAATGAAGAGAGAGTACGATGCTCACATGGCTGATGAGGGGAACCTGTCATCAGAAGAAATGACGGGTGATCAACCAATGTTAACCTTTTCTGATGAGGAAGCTGATGATTTTAACACCGCCACCTCTGACGGCACCAGGTGGAACAGAAAACGGACTCTTTCTGATGAGTTTGATGATTTTAACAACACCACCCCTGAGTCTAATATCAGCCAAAAGCTCAGTGCTTCTGATGACTCTGGTTATTTTAACAACAGCACAGAAAGCAGGAAGGTCTACAGTCAGCCAACTGTTGCTGATTATTTTGATGACAAAAACAACACTGGGTCTGATGACTTTACTGACAATGCAAACAACAAGGAGACTGCTGATCGAACATTACCACTTTCTGATGACTCTGATGATTTTAGTAACAGCACAGAAAGCACAGAGATGAATGATCAGCCCGCCGTAACCACTGATTACTTTCATGACAAAAACACCAGCTCTGATGAACCAGCGCTGTCTCTTTCCGATGACTTTAGCAACTCAATATCTGCTGAGGTCACTGAACTGAGTATCTCTTCATATCCCAGTCCTAGTAGCAGCCAGCAGGAGTGGTTTGGTGCTGACCTGGATCCAGTATCACAGAAGTTGACGAGTTCAAGCTCAGGGAAAACAAGCTGGGTCAATCAGGACAGGGCCGGTTCTAGCAGTAGTGGGTTGGGTTCTAGTCTTCAGGAGGTGTTTCGCTCCATCCAGGAGGTTGTGGATCTGTTTTCAGGAAACCAAAGAGGGATGGGGGCTCCAACTATCAGTCAGACGGGTTTTAGTTTGAGCTCTGATGAGAGTGATGGGAGTTCAGAATCTGGCAGCTTCAGTAAAGTCAGCTCTGAACCCAATAACCAGACCGCTGTTGGTTCAGATCCCGACAGTGATGAGAGCCTGGAGGCCACCAGCTACAGTCTCCAGCAGGGCTCTGGTTCCACAGATCCCACACAGCAAGTTACTGGTCACACAACAAGCGCAACCTCTTACTTGGTTAGTCCTGATCCAGATGGCAGAGATGTTCCAGACACTTCTGCAATGTCCATCCAAGTAGATAATGGTGGTAGTTTAAACCCAATCAGTCCAGATAAGGATACTGTGTCCAAGTTGAGATCCAGGTCCTTCTCCCAAGTGAATGTTAGTTTAAACTCTGACAGCTCTGAGGAAAGTCAGGACTCTGTTGGTAAACAGCAGGTTGGGTTCGCCGACATCCAGCCCAGGACTCTCCAGAGTCGGTAGTCCAGAAGTCAGCTCCAGCAGCGAGGAGGTCTTGTTGGCTGTTGCCTCCTCGTCCTCTCCTGTTCTGGTCTCCTCCCCTGGCATTTCCCCTGAAACACCAACCGAATCAGGAAGTTCCACCTCGAAATCTGAAGAGTCTGATTTGTTGGACTCTGCTGGATCTAAACCAGACTCTCAGAGTGCAGCTCTTCATCCTAATCTGATCTTGATTTCTGATTCTTATCTCAGTCCAGAGTCCAACTATAATCCCAGTGTCAGTATGAACTCCAGCTCCGAGATCAGCCAGGAAGAATCACCCACCATCAAGGTCCCTACAGATGCTAACTCTGATGCTATCAGAGGAGCTAACCCCACTGTAGACTACAGAACTAACACTGCTAGCATAGCTGTTAGCTCTGAAGCTAGCATGGATACCAAACTCGGTAACGGTGTAGCGGACCCTGAGGCAGATTCAAGCTTAGAAGCTACAAATGATTCAAGCGACGATGTTAACATCGAAGCAGACCCGACTGCCGCTGCTGCTACTTTGTATAGCACTAGCCTTTCTAGCATGCACGTTAGCTCTAGAGCTAACAAAGATGCTAATACCAAGTTGAATGTTGAAGAACAGAAGGATACTAGCACGGTAGCTCCAGCTGAATCTTTTAGCTTGTACAAAACAAATCCTCCTGACTCTGGAGCTAGCACTGATGCTATTGCTAGCACAGGTAGGATGCAGGCAGGTTCAGACGTTAGCACTGAGGCAACGCCAGATGCTAACAGCCCAGGTCCAAACCGGCGGAGCAGCAGTGAGGAGAAAATGGCGTTTCCTCTTCCTTCTCGTCCTCCTCCTCCTCGCAGGAAGAGACCATATCGCTTCGGCTTCCTCGGACCCATCAGTCATTCTTATCAAAACCAACCCGTTGCCAGGGAAATGGCGTCCAAGGGAAGAGTTTCTCACACCACCCACGCCAGGGAACCGTTAACAGTACGGCGTTGTCAAAGTGACACACCACAACCGTTTCGTCCTGATCAAAATGTTAACTCAAACCCACTTGGCGACTTCTTCAACAGTCAGTATGATGCAGGAGGAAAGCGCCGCCAACAGATCAGGCGTCCATCTAGCAGGAAGCAGGTGAGGGTTAGCGTAGCGGCGGCTAATCCAGCTCAGAGCAGCAGCGAGGAAACCAACTAGTGACGATGGATTGTTTCCCTGGCAGCTGAGCTCAGCCCTCCCGCCGACAAACAAAACATGGACACACAAAGTATATTTCCTTTTTTATAAATCACTGTCAAACTTTACGTGCTGAGATTAGATAAACGGTCACGTCAACATCAGCAGTAAAGGATTCGACGCACTGCTGATCGGCTGGGACCTCATCATACTTCTCATTTCTCAGGTTATCCTGTCTCCATTTTAAATCGCTGATGAGCGGTTGAGCATGAGTTCAGTGTCAGCCAATCATTGTCCTCTTTTTTTTATATTTTGTATGTTGGGGAATTAAATGTTAATTATTCCAATATGTGTATTAAAAATATTAAACACTCAAGATGGACTCCTGTCTTTGTTTTCCTGTGCGGTATCAAAATAGTTAGTAATTAAATCAAGAGGCTGTTGTGTTTCTTAGTTTTCTGTCTCTAAAAGTTTGAAGACACCAGGGCTGCATCCAAAAAGTCTTTTCTCCTCAGGAAGGTTTCTAACTGAGTGAAGTGACCTGGTAGTATTTCAGTGGCAGCCATGATAAGAGCTGGTCGGATTCTCTAAAAGCTGAGGAAAGGAGCCTCAATGATTCCTTTCATATCTCCTTTAGCATAGGGTACACCGGACCATCCTCTACCAAAGGAAAGGAGAGAATGCCGTCCCACAATTCCTTGCAGCGGAAACAAAAGTGACGCACGTTCTCAAACTCAAACAATAAAATCCATTAACCACATTTAGCAAAATCCTTCCAGTACATGAGGGACAGAAATGCCCTTTATCCCGTTTCTGATACTTGAATAAGACTCTCACAGTCTCCTTCTTTCTTTTGGTTTGTTTAATTTTGGCTTTTCTGTAACCTGATGCGGTTTCAATACCGTTTTATGTTTCAGGTTGTTGAACTATGCCATAAAGTGTTGTATTAGAATTTTCTACAATAAGAAAAAAAGAAATCACCATGACTAATAAAAGATGTGGATCACCATGTAAGTTACCGCTGGCTGTTAAGTTACTGGTAAAATGATCAAAGTGAGGAGAATGTTGCAGCTTGTAGGTTATGTACTGCAGCCTTCAGCAATATCATTAATTAATTTTACCCCCCACACTCGCTGCTCTTCTTCTTCTTCTATCGGAGTGAATGCCACTTGTGATCTGTACTACAAAGCGAGGTACCTTTAGGAGTAACCTTGTGACGCTGGATGTAAGCTCCTGATTAACCCGTTCTACATGTGTGGATACGGTTTTACCCGAGGTCTGCTGCCATGGCGAAGTTACCGTAAAGTGCCGTTGAACACCGGTGCAGGCAGTGTTGATGGGGAACGTGGCGAACATATCAAACACGCCCAGCTGGGTTTATTTAGGAAGGTTAAAAATATAGAGGGCAGCAGCAGAGAGCGGTGAAATACGGGAGGGTTGACAGGTCTGATGGATGTGTGCGTGTGGGGCAGTAAATCCTCCTGGTTGTGAAACGTGTTTACTGACAAACAGAGCTGCAGCAGCTACATGGCCAAAAGTATGTGAGGGGGGCGGGGACAGAGGGCGAGATAATGACGGGTCACTTCCTGCTCAAGAGATGATAAAAGAGACGAATCAGAGTGAGACTCAGTCAGAATCTGCAGGACCCCCAGACCTGGACTTACCAAGACCACCAGAGCTGACCCAGACCATCAGGACCCAGACCATCAGGACCGACCCAGACCATCAGGACCCAGACCATCAGGACCGACCCAGACCACCAGAGCTGACCCAGACCATCAGGACCCAGACCATCAGGACCCAGACCATCAGGACCGACCCAGACCAGCCAGCTGAGTATTTCCAGGATGTGGGTGTTTCTGATAATGGTCTGCCTGCTGGATCAGAACCAGGCCTCCCCGGTAAGAATCCTGTCTATTGATCAGATCTTTAGTTCAATAGATCAATAACACTGAGTGCTGTCTGTACAGTTACCATGGGAACACAGTAGCCTTCAGCCCATCCTCCAACAACAAGCGGACCAAACCATGGTGAGTACACAGCTGTAGTACTGGTGGCAGTAGTAGTGGTACTGGACTCAGGCTTGATTGACAGCTCTCTCCTGTAGCTAAAACTGTGTTGTTGTTTTTAAAGCATGTTACTCCGTTGTGTCCGCAGCCTTCTGCCGTTCCTGACCAGCTGAAAACCTCCTCCTCTTCATCCTCCTCCTCATCAGCTTCCTCCGAGTCCAGCCAGAGTTCAGAGGTCAGAGGTCACCTGAGTTAAAACAAACACCTGAATGTCACCAAACGTGGAGGCTTTCTTTAAATCTGTGAAATTATGAATGGAGTCTGGTGCACACAGCTCTCTGCTCACAGATAATGACCGTATGCAGGACGAAGGTTAACCAACCTACTACGTTACCCATAAGCCTCAGCAGCTGCTGCCCAATCAGAGCTTCAGAACATCTCTGTGTCTCAGCTGTGATGCAGACAGTCTCTCCAGCTCAGGGTGTAAAGTATTAGTGCAGAACCTCTGCTGACTTTTCTCTCAGTTTAAGTTTCCGCTCTGCAGACTGTAACCCGTCTCATTAAAGGGACGCTTGTTCTGCCACGTGTGAGGAAGCCCAGTGACTCTGCTGAGAGCTGACCTCACGCCAAAACTGTCCAGACTGTCCCGTTCACTTCAGTACAGCCAGGAGTTTGAGCACGGCAGCGTTGTTTAAATCTGAGGCTGCTGATTGGTCATGACATCACTGCCCCAGGTGACCTGATTGGTGTATTTTTACAGGGTCCTCAACAGCTGAGAGAACGGCAGGCGCTGGAGAACGCGGTACCACACGCACACACAGAGACACACGTGGTTCACATTACTGATGATGACGTCATGCTGTGATGTCATACTTTAGTTTTAATGAGCTCAGAAATTAACTTTATTCAAATGATTTTTGTCCATGTGATGTGTGATGTCATATCCTGCAGGCTGTGGAGCAGGTGGACTCCGCCCAGGAGGTGAGCTGTCAATCAAACCCGATCCATCCCATCAATGTCACGTGACTTCAGTTTGAGTGACAGTGTGTGTGTGTGTGTGTGTGTCAGAGCTCGGAGGTCCTCCAGCCTGCCAGTAACAGCAGCAGCACTCTGTGGCTCCAGGAACTGGTTTCACTGGGAGGGCGAGCGGGCGAGCGAGACGGAGAGAGAGACACCTGGGACGACGACAGCAGAGAGCGCCGACACCGGGTGAGGTCACGCGTGACATCACAACGCACACTGCGTTACAGAGTGACCTCAGCACATTGTTGCATTAGTGTGTTTAATCACCACATCTGTTTAGTTAAGAAGTTACACATTTAAGCAAGTTGTCTGCAGCTTTACGTTCAGTCAGCAGAGAACGTTTGATTTTAAAATAAGTGAAGAGGTTAATGTCTGCTCTACAGTTTTAATCAAATTAGTCTTTTTCCAAATTCTCTAGGCTTGATTGTTGATTGATTTTATTTTTAGTTCTGTTTGATAATCCAGTGTGACAACTTACCTGCCGATGGGGCAAACTGTCCCAAGTGCACTCTCTCTATTCAACAGCTCCATAATGAGATAAGATAGGAAGACGTAATGAATACAAAGCTTCTGCCCAAGACTTCATTCTTTCATTTGCTCTGACATTTGTACCATTGTGATGTCCGGTGCTCAGTAAATATTAGACAGTGTGAAAAGCGTGACAACACACCCGGCTCTCCCCTACTCCTTCTGTCAAAGTGAGGAAGAAACGCCAGGGATCACTCTCCCCCTCCGGGTTACTGACACCGCTCCAGCAGGAGTGAACCTTTATTTGAGGACGCACAGTTAATTAGTCGGGGTCGTTTGAAGGGAGCAGGCATCATGAGGGCTGGAGCTCCCCTTAATAAGACATCAGCTCCACTGAAAGCAGGATTTGATATTTCAGGGGTCTCTAAAATATTGACAGCTGCTTTATTAACATTAATCTAATTTCTCTAAATAGCGTCAGACTCCATCCAGCCAGAGGGAACGATCACCGACCCTCTGCAGCGGGCCGCTGCTGGGCTGATGTTCACACAGATTTTATTTAGACCACCAATATTTTATAGGGGTTTTTGTATCTAGGAGATGGCCATGTGTGGGTAACATAAAAAATACCTGCAGTTTATTAAAATGTACGTTTTAGGAGAAAGTTATTTTTCCAGCTAGCGGGGTAAGATGCCCCCCGAGCTCAATTTCTATTTTCTGACACATTAATGAACATTTTTTGTATCTTTAAGAGGGCTGTGCTTAGGGAAACATTATAAAATAAATAGCTACAGTTGACAAATTTGAATTTAATCATTTGTATTTTTTAGGGAAAACGTATTTTCCCTAAGATGCCCCCCCCCCCCATTGTGTGAAGTCACTTTAATATGACCAAATTACAGATAAAATAAACTACAAGTAGCAAGAGGATTATAGACCTATGTTGTAGAAATAAACCTGCCTTGTGTCATTAGCTTTCCTGTATTTATTTAAACAGTGAGGTTGAGGTAAAAGGAATATGAACACACGTGAGTTTATAACTGACTTTGACTTTCTGATAGTGAAGCTGCCTATTTATTTATATATCTATTTTACAAACGATCAACTATAAAGTGGCACGGTGACTGGGGGGGGGGGGGCATCTTACCCCAAACATACTAATCTAGCATTTTACTACTTTAAAACTATAAAAATCTGTCTCTCTAAACTATTGCATTACTTATCTTAAATATAAATATTAATATATTGTAAATATACATTTTATATATATATATATATAATGGACACAAAAAAAATGTGCAGCTTATTTGAACTGACAATAAAAATTTGATCAAATTAGGTCAGAATGGCTTTGATCAAATAATTGAGAAAATTGTGATGAAACAGGAGATTTTTAGTTCTGTGAGACGAGCGGCAGCCAGAAGAAAGGTTGACAAACAAATAATCTAGTAAAGTCAGGCATTACTTTAAAACAAGTAACGTGGTCCTCGCCTCCATCGTCCTCTACAATCCCGTTTCATGAATCAGCTCTGAGACTCTTGAGATTTAGTCCTTCACTTCACGCAGCACTGAGCTGCTTCATCACTCGCTGTTAAACGCAGCTTGATAAATATGGTAATGATGATGCAGTGATGTCACGGTGTGATGTCATCACTGTCAGGTGTGCTCACAGGTGCAGCAGACAGGTAACAGCTGTCCACACAGAAAGCTGCACGTGCAGGACTACATTTCCCACAATGCTTCAGGAACACAACTGTCATTAAACTGAAGTAAAAAGTTTCATCATGGCCCTTCAAAATAAAAGCAGTTAGTGATTTATAGATCCTAAATGAAAACATTAACTAATGATCTGTCACCAGCCAATCAGAACAGAGTCTGAATCAGTCACCCGACCTGGTTTGATTACCAACGGGTCATTTAAACGGAAGTTGTAAACCCTCAAACAGGAAGTGGATTAAAATGAAAACACATTGATTCATTACGCTGACCTGACGGCGTTTCAGAGGAGCCATTTTTTGATGATTGATCTGACTGTTGATCTCACGCGTCTCAGGTTCTGCAGCTGACCTCTCAGAGCCTCCTGAGTCCACCTCGACTCAATCTCACCGAAGACCAGGATGCCGCCGGGCCGGGCGAGGCCACCGGAGACCAGGGCGGGGCCATCACAGAGGGGGGAGTGGCGGAAAATGAAGTGGGCGTGGCAGCAGGAGAGGAGGGCGGGGTCAGAGGGGAAGAGATCGACTCGGAGTTTCCTCACCTGTTGGCCGACGGCTCAGAGAGGCCGAACGGGCTGACCTTTGACTCCCACGATCAGGGCCGCCGTGGAAACGAGGCGGAGCTAGAGCTGGGGCTGTAACTGAGGCCACGCCCCCTGTCGACGTCATCAATAACCAATCAGTGACCTGATTTCTAACCAGTTTACTAACATCACACAGTTATTAAGTGTGTTATTTATAAAACATCAGCATCCCCTTCAGACGGCGAGCCGAGCTGTGACTGCAGAGAGGAGACGCAGCGCCTCCGTGGTCTCTAACCGATTCCTCCCGTTTTCACATATTTACACTGACTATTTTACCAATAAACACTCATAAAAGAAGAGCCCATAAAATACATAACAGGGATTTGAACTACAGTAAGAACACTGGGAACATCAAGCCTCGCCACGGTGTTAGATTTCCAACTCCAGTTAAGTTAACACCGTCTTATCCACCGTCGCACTTTAACTCCAGTGTAGCGGTCGGTTTGTTAAAGTAGTGAAACTCTCCTCGTAGTGCACCAGGTCTCTGGCGCAGGAACAAACACAGTAAACCTGATTTCTGGTGTAGAAATATAAATACAAAAACATTTTACAGGACGAGTTCACTGAAGAAAACAACTAACCTGATTAACCTGATCTTTGTGTTGCTTCATATTTAAGCCTCAGACACGTGTGTCCTGTCTGTTAATAAAGTTTCTTTCTCCAGTTGTTTTTATCTGATTCGTTCTTTATGACCAGGTTTCAGCTTGGAAACAGAAAACACTGATGGTACAGACGTCCCTCCTGTCCCTCCTGGTCCCTCACGTCCCTCCTGGGCCCTCGCGTCCCTCCTGGGCCCTCGCGTCCCTCACGTCCCTCACGTCCCTCCTGGGCCCTCACGTCCCTCCTGGGCCCTCACGTCCCTCACGGCCCTCCTGGGCCCTCACGTCCCTCACGTCCCTCCTGGGCCCTCGCGTCCCTCACGTCCCTCCTGGGCCCTCACGTCCCTCCTGGGCCCTCACGTCCCTCCTGGGCCCTCACGTCCCTCACGGCCCTCCTGGGCCCTCACGTCCCTCACGTCCCTCCTGGGCCCTCACGTCCCTCACGTCCCTCCTGGGCCCTCACGTCCCTCACGTCCCTCCTGGGCCCTCACGTTAGAAACAACAGGTACAGAACTGACCAACATCGTGTGTATTTCAGGTCAGACGGGATCTAAACATTAGTCGTCTCTACCGCACATATTGTTTCTGAAACAAGGTCCCATGGCGGTCCACGGGAAGGGGCGGGGCCTAGGCTCTCTAATCCACCGACTCACAGCAGTCCAAAGCTAAACACGATGCTAAGCTAACCCACACACAGTCCTGCCTCCCAGCTTTTATTGTGAAGGAGTTAGTTTGAATATCCTGAATGTTTCCATGTTCTGGACGAAATTAATTTTAAAAAACAAACAGCTGATTTAAATCGATACCAACGGACCAATAAGCTGCACAGATCAATTCTCTTTATTTAGACAAAAAAAACTGAAGCGGTAAAACAGGAAGTGATGTTTGTGTTGTGTCACTTCCTGTCAGGGTCTAGGGTCCAATTACAAGTCCAGGACCAGAGTTCAAAATGGGGGGAGGGGGGGGGGGGGGGGGCAAGGACGCTCACCCACAATCCTTTGTTTCGGCTCGATGAGCCTGTGTCAACCAATCACATTCACCTCCTCTGTGACGTCATCAAAACCAGCTCCATTGTCCAGCCAATCAGCCACGAGCTCACGGTAAAAAAAAAAATAAAATAAACTCCAATCAGCTCCCTCTTCTCTCGGCTGTCAGTCACAGTCCAGGGCTGTTGCCACGGAGACAGGAGGATGGCGCCTTTAGAGAATCACGTCCTGTCCTGGTGACCTCACTTCCTCTGGGCGGGGCCTTTGTGGAACAGGTAGATCGGCCGCTGGTTACCTGGAAACACACACAAACGTGTCATCGTGTGTCATCAGGACGCAGTAACTATCAACGCTTTGATGTTGAGTATGAAACCAACGTGTAGCGGCGACTCAGAGCGCTCTGGTTTCTCTGCACAAAACGGCTTTCTGCTCAAAGTCGTTGTCAATTGTTGTTTTTCTTTCATATTTTGTCAATTTATGTATTTATATAAATGCTCCCTGTGAAACGTCTGCACAGCAGTAAATATCTGCATAAACTGCTGTTATTCTTTTATTTATTTAACCTTTAAATGACCAGGGGAAAGACCCCCTGAGATAAAATCTCTTTTTCGAGGGCCAAGAAAGGCAGCAGGACAGACATGAAACAACATTTTCCCTTTACACAAACTATCAGAACTTCAAACTGTTACTTTCCTCTTTAAAAACCTCTAATCAGGGATTTGAACTTCCCAAGAGGACTCCAGGTTAACATGAGGAGGCGGTCTTTCCTGCACTGAAGTCACCAGCCTGCTGGACCGGGTCTGATGACGCCGGACCACAAAGCTGAGGAGGCTGTTAACACGAGGCGGTCATGTGCAAAAAATATACAGCGTAGCTGATGGTGATCAACCCACCACATGTGTTAAACAATCACTATTAACGATCATCAGAATAGGCGTCTGTAAATATCAAGTGTGCAGGAAGGAGGGTGCTGCAGCGCCCCCGGTGACGGGGAGGAACTCGTGGCGTGCACTAGTGTTCCAGAGCTGAATGCAGAGGATGCTCTGGATGTTACCGTTTTGTCACGATTACAGGAGCGGTCTCAGATTTATTCCACCTCTACGGGTCCTTTTAACCTTCCAGGTGATTTCTTCATTGTGCTGATGCACGAGTGTTTACGGTCACGGTTAGAGAGGCAGCCGTCAGTCATTTTGAACGTTTCCGTGGCCGCAGCGATGTCACAGGAAATAAGCCGGGACGTTTATCAGGCATGTGATTGGTCAAAGGAGACTCTCAAAGTAGTTCAGTAAGAGTTCACAGATTATTTTTAGTGACTCAGAGACAGCAGCAAAGGTCGTTTGAGACCTGGTGGCCTGACTGTCAAACAGTTATATCATCCAGGAAACTCAGATCAAACAGCCCATCAGAACGACCGCGACCGTTTCACGGGATCGCGCCCGGTCGTACACAGAGGCCGTTGCCATGGTTACCGCCCATGGAGCGCCTGGCGTTGACTCGTCTGCCATCCAAGAAACTCATTGGTCACAACCACTGACGGGGAAATTAATCTATATTTGTGCCAAAATCTTTAACGTAAAGACGACCGAGCACGAGTCCGAGCATCAGCGGCTGCTGGAGTTTCATTCTGAGAGTTTCACCTCGCTGCTTCTGCAGATGTAGAAATGTTGGCGGCTCGCACAGTTCACAACTGACGACTATGTTCTTTGCATCTTAGACTGTGACACTATAATGGCAGCAGCTACTGTGGACAGAACGCCTCTCTCCCTCGTCCTCCTCTTCATTCAGCTATCTGGCCACCAGCTGACATGAACAACAGAAGGTCCGGTGCCGCACGTCAGCCTGTAGACGTCCTCAAATCCATTTCACTCGCTCTCCTGTCTGATCTCCACGATTCATGCGGCAAAACTAAAAACTGTAGTTCTAAACTTGAGAGGACAGACGGAGGAAACAGAATTCAACCTTTTTTAGCTCAGCATGGATCAGGAGGAGGACGGCTGCTTTCCTCAGACAGTCTCTCTGGATGAACCTGGACTGTGAGCGAGAGCTTCAGCATGTGGAGAAGATCACAGAACATTAACCAACGTTAGACCCTGATGATCCTGCCGGCGTGTCAACTTGAACATCCCGCCGCTGTGACTCGTGCGTAAATACACACAGCGTCTCTTTTAATGGGGAGACGCTTCGCCTTGTTTCACCCACCCTGAAAGTCACACAACGTTTAGCGGCGCTGCACAAGGTTTTCATGTGCTCCATCAGGTGTGGACACCGAGCGTGGAACCGTTCAGGTTTAAAAATGAGCTGGTTTTTATTTATACATACATATAATTACGGAGGTCCGGACCTCGGTGACGACTAATCGTTGCAGCCGTAGTGTGTACCTGTGTGTACCTGTGTGTACCTGTGTGTACCTGTGTGTGTGATGAGTCTGTAGGAGGTGAAGCCCACGCTGTCGGTCAGGTAGCGGGTGAAGTGTTCGGGTCTCAGCCTCACGGTCCTGTAGTGACGGTACGTCGACGCCTGCAGACGAAACAAACACAGGTGTGAACCTGACGCTCTGCAGAGACACCACACAGACACGTTTTACTCCAGGAGCCCGAACTCTGCGTAACACCCAGGTTCAACATGAGGGGGAGCTGGACGCTGCAGGCGGACCGGCTAATAAAAGGTTAACAGATATCTCCACGGAACCGAACTGCTTTATTACCGAGACAGTTAGTTTTGTGTTGCCTTTAAATATGCAAATGAGGCTGAATGAAATTAAACAAGCGCTAATTTGCATCTACTTCAAGAACTGAAATGTGAACCCTGGATCAGGTTGACGGACGTCACGAGAGCCGATACGAGAGCCGATACGAGAGCCGCTGCAGCGCCCGCGCCGCCTCGACCAATAGAAGAGAGTCGTGTCTGGAAACCAGGGGAAGTCAGGGACCGTCGGAAAAGGTCAACACGACCCATTTCAATCATCTGTGTTTAGTTCTTCACTGTTAACGGAGACCAGCCTGAAACATTTCACACCTGACAGACTGTAGAGAAACGTTCAGGGCAGGAATTAATTAAACAAGCACAGGGTGACGTTAAAATTCAAATATCTCGCTCACTTCTGAAAACACTGACGTCCTCTCTCTTCTTCTTAATGTGCATGAGGATTTATGGTTTTGTCTTTTAAACTGGCATCTGTTTCACCTGCAAGGTTTCTGATATCGTGACATCCCCAATAATAATAAAGTCAGGTGGAAAAAATTATTGTTTTCATTCGTTGACTCATGTTTTTATTGAGGGGGTTCTGTTTTTCTCTTTTTAATCGCTCCATCAATCAGAAAATCCCGTCGACACGCATTAATAAATAAGATTTTCTTCCTGTGTTGTGGAATAAAATGTTGTATAACTCGGGCTCTGAGTGATGTCTGAACAAATCCCTCTGTAACACCTTCAGAACAGGATGAACCTGGAGAGTTTGGCGTCTGTCAGAGCTGCTGAAGACGAGAGGTTTGTTGCAGGCTGCCGTTTAGTGAAGTTACGTCTGACAGCGACGCTTCAAACTCCTTTAAAAATGAACCTGTTTAGGAGCTCGTTTCATTTCCGGTGGCGCTGAAATGACGTCTGAAGCGAACGCACAGCTTCACTCAGGCGGAGAGTCTCAGGACTGATTTGAACCGCGGAGGGATCATAAACCTGAAGCCAGCGACAAACTGTTGGTTTTTATTATTGAGTGTTTGGACTGTTGTGTGTGTGAGAAGATTCTTTAAAGACGTTTATAAAAACAATAAATTTCACCTAAAGACTGGAGAAAGGTTTGATGGTAAACCTAGTTTTTCTACTTTTCTTTAGTGCAGGAACGCTGCACTGCATTTAAAGCTGATCATGTGTGCAGTCAGTAGCAGCTGGACGGTGAAGTGGGTTAGATCTGGAGTTCAAATCCTCTTCAAAGTCTGCAGGCTACACACTGACCCGAGGGTCATTTTGGATTCACGCACTTTAAAAACACAGTTTTTTCCCTTTCTACGTGTTTATTTACAGCATTAAACTGAAATGTTTATGTGACAGGCTGAATATTAACTTATTAGGAGAAAACTGGTGGTTC